AACATCAATGACCAACTTCAGACAAGAGTTATTAAATCTTGAGGCAAAAAAAATAAAATTGTTACAAAATGAAGAAAAAGACGATGAAGACTTGATGTTTTTAAAAAGTCTATTGCCTGATTTGAAGTCCCTATCCAGACCACAAAAAATTAGGACAAAGATTAAATTTCAAGAAATTTTATACAACGAAGTTATGAATATTAAACCTGCAACTTCTACTTCCACACTGTATTCAAGTACACCAGCATCAGTTTCCACGCAGTCGTCAGTTTCAAATGACGATTCCCATTGGCAAGTGGCAACCATGGCAAGAAATCAATTTTGACGCAAACAACCAGTTTCTAAATTGCCAGACAGAACCACTCAAAGAGCAGGGTACAATTTATGTAGATATTAATTAAAGTTTATTAGAGTTAAAGTTTAACCTAATAAAATTAATTTAATTTTAGTTATATTGTTATGGTAAGGAAACCATTTTTAAGTTTTTTTTAAATTATATTATGTCATTAAATATGTTTGTTGAGTGCTTATCTTGATCATTTTATTTTAGTGAAAAATTACGATGTTTTATTATAATGACTATTACGTACCTAATATGAATTAAATAAGTATGTTGTAAGTTAGTATGAATACAACTTATGAGTGAAATGTTGGTACTTATATATTCTAGGTACACCACGGGTTAATCGGTTTTTAAAATATACCTGTTAAAATAAACCTGTTATTAACTCGTAATTATTTTATTTTTAAATAATTTAATAATTTAATACCAAGCTTCAACAATAAATATTTTTAATAACAATTAAAGTTTGAGGCCCAAAAACAAATTATTTAGAATTTATAGAAGTTATAGAACAATTATTTTTATAGTTATAGTATTTAGAATTTTAGAAACATATATTATTGTTGTAGTTTCAGTGTTGTGGTATTTATTCGTTTTGTTTAAGGGGATTGGAAGCGGCGATTTTCTGTCTTTATCTAACACACGTGGAACATAGGATTATAGACGTGTTCTATGTCCAACGTACCGATTAATCTAATGAAGCGATAAGAATTCTGAAAACAGATTTGAATTTGTCGTCAAGTCTACTTGAGATCGACTTTCCCACATTTTTGATATTGTCCCACCAAAATCATAAAAATGATATATTATAAAAAGTACTTAAAAAATTTACAAATTTCAACTTTTGGAGAAGTTTAAATCAAAAAATCAAAAATGTGGGAAAGTCGATCTCAAGTAGACTTGACGACAAATTCAAATCTGTTTTCAGAATTCTTATCGCTTCATTAGATTAATCGGTACGTTGGACATAGAACACGTCTATAATCCTATGTTCCACGTGTGTTAGATAAAGACAGAAAATCGCCGCTTCCAATCCCCTTAAGTGAAAAATAATGAGTTGAACAAAAGTTATTTAATAGATTTAAGACACTCGATATATTATTCACTTAATTATATTTATTTAAATAACTTACCTCAATGTAAGAAATAGCCTTTCTTCTACAGGTATTGCTTTTCGGAAGTTGGTGTCTTCTTTTTCGATTTCGCTTCTTATAGCTTCCAAAATTATATAAAAAGTAGGTTCACTCATGCGACAGTACTCAAAAAACTTGACAGGATGATTTTTTAATTTACTGAATAGTGTATGAAATTCCCCTTCAGATAGTCTATGCTTATTTATTTCGTGAACCCATAAACGTTTCTTAGCCAAATTTACTTTAATATCAATTAAAGAAGCACTTTCAGCCAGTAACATTTTTCGGGACGTCATCTTGGTTGACGACCGAATAAGCAAATGAAAACTAAAAACTAAAACGAACACGCGCCATGGAAAAAATTTAGAAACGCATGTAAAATCGCTAAAGTGTCCCCATCAAAATCACTAATGGACATCGCGCGTGTAAAATTTGAAAACTGAAAAGTATTCCGGGGATTGAGTTCTATACAATTGCAGTGTTCAAATACAGCGATTCGAAAGTCAAAGCACCCACTCATGCCGGGCGCAGACTACAAATGGCTCGTAAAAACACTAACATTTTAAGGTCGATGATTCGTGGTTTGCTTATAGTGGGCAATACATATCTAAAGTGCATATTATGTTCACCCTGAAAAAATATATTACGAGTATATGTACATGTATTAAATTATAGTACTATTCCGGGAAAATGATAATATTTGGTAATAAATTCAAGTTTTTACAATTATTTATTTTTAAATTACATAATTTTCTCAACATTTTGAACCATACAAGAAGGGATATCAAGTGAAATAGCTAAATGGCAACATAGTTGTGTACAGTATTCTTCCATAAAATCAAAATTGGTCTTTTTAATTCTTAATACTTTAATTTCGTCACACATAGTATTAAATTTAGAAGTACTTGACCTATAACAGTTAAGAAGAAATTTCATACCGTCATATAAAGAAGTCAACCGAGTGACATATGGTGTTTTGAGGTATACGCCCAAAGAATTTTTTATTATGTCATCAACATGGTAGAACGGTTTTGTTTATTGAAAATATCATTATTTCTTCCAAAAGTTTATCGACTTTGTTTTTTATATTGGGAACAGAGTAATGCAGTTTCGGAATCCTATGAATTAATGTAATAGACATTAAGTTATAAACTAATTAGTATTTAAAAATTAAAATTTACTTTTGTTTCTACTAAGTTGAGTTTATGTGCAGCACAGCGATGATGTTTTGGTAAACTATAGGGGACAGGGGTTCTTAACAATTATGGAAGAAAAATATTATTATAAATAAAATAGTATAATAATTTTAAAAAAAAAGTGATAACTGACGAATAATTCGTTTGAATTTTCAAAAGTATTTGATTTTCAAATACAAATACGTCCAAGACAGTGTTTAAAAAACTTTCCAAATACTCAAACCAAAAAGTATTTAAAAGGTATTCTAAAATACTATAAAAGAATTTAACTACTTTTACTCAAATAATTTTTAAAGACTGTCTGAGAATAACAAAATATTTGAGTGTCTTATTTTCGTATTTATAAATAATAGGAATAATGTGGGTGGAAGATGGTCGCCTTGAGGAACACTTATCGTGTCAATCGATCTTCATTGTTAATGATAGTTTGATAGTTACAATTGACGATTAATGGTTTACATACCCAGTTACAGTCACAGACTTGTGAGCTACACACGATGTGGTTACACGGCTAGAAAATGCTTTGCCTGTCATTCGAGTTGATATCAAAGCGAGCGAGACAAATCGCCATTATTAGTGGTAATGAGTCGAATAATGAAAATCCAGTAAGTATTTATTTTATAATTTTAATTTACACATTTACCTACCTAATGTAAAAATATTTAGTTATTTATTACACACATAATATACGACATTAATATTAGCATATTAATTAGGTTTATATTTGTTTACATTTTAGTGTGATCAAAACAATATAGCTGCAGAGAAGTTATTAGTAAGTTTCTTAATAATTAAATTAAATAAAAATAAATTAAAATAATTCAACTTAAAAAAAAAGAATAAAAATGTGTTAATTATTTATTATAAGCCTTTTCTATTTAGCATGTTATTATATTTTTTTTAAATTTTAGTGTGATAGGAATTCTACTGCTATAGTTCAAAACGAGCATGATTTAATAAGAGATATTGATTCAAGTTTAGCATTTACTGTGACTAAAAACCAAGCAGGCACAGCCACAGAAAAATCATTGGTACCTACCTAATGTTTTTAACATTATTGACAATTAAATTATTAAATTATTTATTATAAGCATTTTCTATTTAGCATAAAATTATATTTTTTTAAATTTTAGTGTGATTGGAATTCTACTGCTATAGTAACAAAACGAGCATGATTTAATTAGAGATATTGATATTGATTCCTAGCCTAATAATGACTATTTGTTGATTAGTATGTTACAGTATTTGCCTTCTAATATAAATAAAATTTTTAGTTACAAGCAGGGCTCGGGACTTAAAGCATTTGCTTATTTTTATAGATTGACTTAAAATGTAGCAGAGTGCTATAGAAGTGTATGTCATGTTACAACACATTCAATTATGAAATTTGAAAGTGCTTTTTTTTGCTTTTTTCAGTGATTTTTCAAAAAAATGCTTATTCAAAGTTTTTCTGATAATTATTGCTTTTTTGACCAGTTTTTATACTTTTTTATGATTTTCTACTGCAAAGTTGTTTTTGATAGAATTAAAATTAAAAATAATTTAAATAAAAAAATTAATTTTTTTTTCAACTATTTGTAAATATTGTTTACGTTTTATTTTTCAGAAAATCCATAAAATCCTCAGTCCTGAAAATGAAGTTTAATTTTTTTTATAATATAAAGATAAAGTTTTATTTTTATTTTATTGTTGTTTTTTTTAATAAATATTTTTGCTTAAATTTAAGTTTTTTAAATGCTTATTTGAGTGCTTATAATGATGTTTTTAAGTGCTTATTTAAGCGCTTATTTTAATGATTTTAAGTGCTTTAAGTCCCGAGCCCTGGTTACAAGACATTAGCAATATATTTTATTATAATATAGAAGTGATTAAAGATTTAAAGAAAATATGTATACTTTTTTTAGGAGGGAGGGGGGTTATGCTACTTTATATTTAACTTATATTTGGGCCGGTAACCCCGTATTCCCACTGGGCCGGACACCTCCCAGTACGCCTCTGTGTTGCGTCCCCACGATGGTGCTCCGTCGAGTCCAGTAATGTTATATTATTAAATGTATAAAGATAAGATATCGTCGTTCACATGAGCGACCGTAGTAATTGTTCTTTTTTTGTATACGACAGTCGTCGCCGGTCGATCGTCGCAACTGAATATCACTACGATTTGCAAGCACAAAATGTATAACTTAAAAGTTTATATAAATTAATTATTAAAAATGTAACGCTCGATTATATGATCATTTGTATTTTATTATAATTAATCGAGCGTTATATTTTAAAAGTCGAAATATACAATCCACTAACGTCACAATATAATCGTGGTCTTCATGGCTACATTTGTAATATCCACTGTAAGTTGCTTAAACAAGCAAAGTCTCTTAGTGTGACGGGGGGAGAGTTCGCTGGTATTATAGGAAGCATGAGCTTATAACCGTATTGTTTAAGTTGTTCATCCAACTCTGGGTTGGTCTCTGGTGTCTGGTGTAATCCGGGCTGAAGAAAGAGAGAGCGATCTGACGCTGTCCAGGCTCCTACAGGGAATACATGTCCATTTAACGTGTGTGGTGCTTGGTCATTAAAAGTATCATGGATTGTGTAATCTGGGATGGCATCTGGTGCTGATGTAATTATCGAATTAGCAAAACCTATGATAGCAGGAATGTTGGGCATCGCAAGCATAGAGTCATAAGGGTTGATGATGTCACCGGAGTGAGACGGAACGAAGGGTGATACCATTCGGTAATGTGGACCATCTGGTGATGATGCGCAAAGAGCCTTTAGTATGGGGAGGAGTGCTCCGGGAATGGGGAGATCCTTATTAAGCTGGGCGTACATTAGGTGTACGTTGTAGTCTCCGATCTTGGAGTAGTTCATCGCACGTAAGGTTTGGTAGTACAGGAGTACTCCAAAATACTCTATTGACAATTAGATCATTTAAAAGTCTTAAACATAAAATTAATAGAAATAATTTTCTCTTCTATTTTCAATTCTACGTCAGCACTTTCTGATTCTTGTTAATTCGGCCATGTTTTTCCAAGCAACAGTTCTGGATTTCCAGCTGCAAGATTCAATCATTTCCAAGCATTTATTTCTATAACTGGACAAGTACGAAAGGATAGTAGACTCTGTTGCATTCTGTAAGCTTCCCACTATTGCATTAGACTTGAAGATACTCTTCAAGGATTCTGTAGGACGTTTTTTACGTAACCTGCAAATCTCTGGTCACTGTAAGCTTGCTCATTACTGCTGTTGAAGGCTGAAGTCATGCATGATGATGATAATTTTATATAATATTTTTGCTTTATTAGAACAAGCTCTTCCATTACCCTTTATGATATTGAACAATTTATCTGATCATATACTTTTTCTTCATGCATCTAGTCAGAAAGATATGTACCAAACATACAATGGTATAATATCTCATTATACCACTTTCCCTTTGGAACATGGTAATACACTAACAAGGACAATAACTCCGGGATTTTTCAGATATAATTAATACAAATATTAAATCATTTATTTGTTTGTTGGATTCGAAATAGTCTTGCGTAGTAAAATCGATTTATCTATTTATCTAGGTATAATCAGTAATTTTTAGAATTTAAAAAGTTAGAAGTCAGTAATATCTTAATACCCTAGTTGCACTATCCAAAAGCGAGAACTTATGAATTGTGACTGCTCTGCACAATACTCTAACCTAACCTAACCTAACCTGCAGAATCCAAAATTAATTAGTTAAGTTAAAAAGTTAATGCCCAGCCTTGGTATTTAGTTACTAACAATAGATTATTTTGATGATTCTTTCATATGTAAAATGTCGTAAGAAACACATTTTTGTCTAGCCTCGTTCGGCTCAAAATGTGGTTTTCTACAAAATTAAAGCTACAAAAAAAAATATATAAAATCAGGAATTAGGTATACAAATTTAAATTGTAGTAAATATTAAACTAAAGATCAAGAGATAAATGATTATTTATTAAGATATAAACGTCAAAGTCACATATTTAAAGTAAAAAAAAATTATAATTTGTCCAATATTTGCAATACGTCGGCCCTCAGGGATCTGAAATAAAAAAAAAATCAAATTAGGTCCTCATTTTGATAAAAATATAGTAACATTAACTGAATGATATGGTACCTTTTATAAAATGTTCTAACATTTGAACTTACACGTTCTGGTGTATTTTCAATGAAATCTGTTGATTGTCTGACTTTTTGTTAAGGGGTGTTTTCTGGTGTTTCTGGGAGTCTTAAAATGTATGTATTATAAGGGGTATTTAAATCATTAGAAAGGATGAGTTTTTAATATATTGTGTAAGAATGTCTATTTTATTTGTATAGATCAGAAGAGCTTTATTATAGTAACGAGTCAATTTGGCAGGAGGGATATCGAAGTTTTGAAATGTTAATTGACTTAATATGTGTTTGGTGATTGCATTTTTTTTTACATTTTTTATTATAAGTTTGGTTTTTGCTAGTTGACTTCCTTTGATGTTTAATAATCGAATTAATAATGTAGATGATCTCTTTAAATTTATTTATTTGTTTGTTATTGGTATTATGAAATGGTAATTTATTGAATTTGAGATTTTTTATTGGGATTATATTATTTGTTTTTTTTTTTTAAATGTTTACTGTATGTTTTAGTTCCTTATAGTTGGCGCCATGGTAGTTGAAAGATAAGTGGTGGTATATTGTAATTAAATGTTCATGTAATTGCCTGATCTGAAAAAATATATTATGTATTAATATTTGTTATTAATTTATCTGTTAAAACTTTATTACATTTTGGAATTGTTTTCTTAAAAGTAACCCAATAACTATGATTTCCAGATAGCAGTATTCATTGGTTCCGGTAATTTCCTGGTCCATGCAAATCTTAGTGAAGCGTTCACCAGTGTCCACCATCACAACATTCTCACAGGCCACAGTTCTGTATAACAAAGAACAGTTTATTAAATAATATAATTGTATTCAAACAGGTGATAATAATAACACTCCCCGCAGCTTCGCATAAGCAAAATCTTTATGTATGGAATTGTCTAGTTTGAAGAGAAGTTTTTGTAATTCATACCTTATGGATGTATAAACGACATCTCCGAACTGGGTTTAAACATCCCATTCGTTTTCCATGAGCCTTAAATAAAATGTATGTACCAAATGTAATTTGGCACATACAGAATAATCTTGTATGACTTGATTTATCAAATTATTTCCTTTTTCATCATGGCTATAATTAGAGCACTATAGATGTAGGTATTCTCATCCGCCATTTTGGTTCCAGTTCGACCGCGGACCGTCAGACCACGAATACTCATACTTATAGTGCCTTACTATAATATAACATATGTAATATATAATACATATTATAAAGTAATGAACTGTATTAGAAAAAATTTAAGGCTTACATATTTATAGGGTCTTGTTTGTCGACCCGAACACCAAATTTGTATGTATGATATTGTGCGCCATTTCATGGGTTAATTCCTCATCCGCCAATGTTTCATGGAACAACATTTTGATGAGAATGGAATTAACATGTTTTGTATAATAATTAACATTGTTGTAATTAATTTTTAACTCTATGTATGGGTTTGTCGGTTCATCATTGTAATATATACTATATTCATAATCCCTGCAAACAAATTAATTTGTAATGTACAAGATTGTTTTATATTTTTTACATACTCAATCATAGCTTGAAAGTGGTCAGATTTTAAGGTATTTTCAATATTTTTTTTGTAAGTTATTTAGAATTTTTTATTTTATTTTTTTAAATATTTAGATGAACGCACTCCATAATAATTTTGTCAATGTCTTGTAAATAGTTCTGTTCATATTTTTTTTTTTTTTTACCAGGGTTAGAACTTTATTCATTACGGGATTTGTGACATCTTTTAATTTTTTTTTTTTTTAGTATTTCTGTCTGAATTTTTAAACTGTTTGTGTTTATTTGTAATGTATCATGTATTCCATAATATTTGATTAAATTTTTCAATGCAATGCCCAGATAGCTTATACCCCCCCGGATGCAACCATACCACCTGCAGAGGCCAGGGCTACCGAGGCCAGATAGTCTACTACTCTTGCACTCGATCGTGCACGACGGTCATCTAAGTCGGACGAGGGCCGTTCTCCGACAAATGATAACAACCAATTTTTACTCCGACAGTCAGAGTGACCAACTGTAAAAACAAAATATCAAAACTCATTTTCGTAAAACTTTAAATCGGCGGTTTAACCTTAATTTATACTACATTGTATAATACGGCCGGAAAACTGCTTATAGTGTTCTAAAAAAACCATATGTACAAATAACAAAGCTGAAAGTACTAACAAGTTACAAGTTACTAGTGTTAACTTCTGAAGTTTTTTTCTACGGTAACTGGTAAGGTATTATAATTTATAATGTTAACTTCTGAAGTTTTTTTCTACGGTTTGTAAATTGTTTTACAACACATAATCATCGTAAAACACAACTTATAAAACGTGTTATTCAATAAATATTGAAAAATGTAATATTATAAAATAAATAATTCAATTGTCCAAAAATGTAAATATTATAAATAGTTGATTCAATTGTTAAAAAGTGTAAAGCATTAATAATAAAATAAAATTTTCATAAAATGTTAATATTATGCTTAATGTTAATAATAATAATTATAATAATAGGTAATACAAATGTTTTAAATTATGCTTATTGACAATAAAACACACATAATCATTGTAAAACCAATAAATTCATCGCTACTCGATGAATCTAAAATACAACTTATAAAACGTGTTATTCAATAAATATTGAAAAATGTAATAATATAAAATAAAAAATTAAATTGTCCAAAAATGTAAATATTATAAATAGTTGATTAAATTGTTAAAAAATGTAAGCATTAATAATAAAATAAAATTGTCATAAAATGTAAATATGCTTAATGTTAAAAATAATAATTATAATAATTTATTAGGTGAATTATGGCTGTGGGCCAACTTGCCCATGAAGATAACCGTCCATCATATGGCCTGCTCTTTGAAGGAACATTAAGAGGTTCCCATCCTCATTTAATATATTAATATAATCCCTTATTCTACGCGTTGCGTCTGCTCTGTCTACTCTAGACTTATGGTTTCTAACCTTAACATTTAAAAATAACAAAAAAACCATAAATATACAGGTAGGTATAAATAAATAAAATGAAATCATTCATTTACTGTAAGGTTTCTTCGAACTTGGTCCATTTCAATATAAAACTGATTTTCAATCAGCAACAGTTTTTCTAGAATAAAAATAAAATATTTGATTGCCTACTTATTATTATTTAACATATTTTAACCAACCACCTTGAATCATAACATTTAATTCACAGCACTAAACAAATAAATACAAATCCATAGGTTAGGTAGATAGTTAGATTAGACTTCCAATTTCCGAACAAATATTATTTTACAAAATTGATTTTACGCAAAAAATCCCAAATATTTGGATGTTTTCCCATTTGGTTTAGCAGTGTTGCATGAAATGACTCCAAATAATTGTTGGTGCGGACATCAGAACTAAAAAGTGTATGTATTTAAAAACTCTTTAGTAGTTTATTTCTATTTTTTTTTTTTTTTTGTTTTATATAAAATTCTCATACCCGTAGACACTTATAGATGCAGCGCCAATTTGTATTAGCCAAAAATCTTGAACATAACCAAAGAGAAAAATCTCCAAACGTTGAGAAATGTTTGGATGTTGGTTGGCAAATTCAACAACTACCCTGAATCCATCAAAAATTGTGAACCTACAATTGGGATTTACTTCTGCTGGCAAATGAGGTAAGGCTAAGATCTATAACAGACATGTTTGTAAAACATTTAAATTTATAATTACCTAC